ATTTTGTTTCAAGCATTCTATTCACAATATTATACTTGCATAACTATTGCTTTGTTAAATAGTAGTCACCGTGGATTCGATATTCTTTTTTTTACCCTGACACTATCAATATGTAATTACAACTCAACAACATATAATTATAACTCAACAATATATATGTAATCACAACTTAATAACATATATTTATATATTTTTTCAACCAACAGGAAAATTATTAACATATATACTCAACAATATTCATCAACAGAGTAAACATATTATTACTTATATAAGCTCACAAACATGGTAAAAAAATTATCATATATGTGTAACATTACCCATCTGATGGGGAACAATAATATTCTACAACCCTCAACTTCAATGGGCTTAACTTATAACCCTTAAGATAACTCAATTTCAACATTGTTGATTCACATAACACTCCAAACACATCAACGTAACTAATTTTCAACTCATTTGATTATCAAACATAACATTAATATATTAAATAACTAAAATTTCAACTATTTTAACTACGCATAACTCTAATCCAACTCTAAAATCACAAATACCTTCAACTTCAACTTTAAAGATATCAATAGACTCAAACTCGACTCATTAATACATTAGTCACTTCCCTTTTTAGAAAAATATTGGTTTGTATCACATCCGAACCTTAACTCATAAATGCTCAACCCTCTTAATTCAAATCAACTCTAAAATATATCACTTCAAAATAACACCAAATATTATAGACATATGATAAAATTGTGAAACTCTCATGTTTAAAAGCTTTTTGAATTCTCTTTCAAATGCAATTGATTACATCCCAGTCGAAATATTCTAACTCTAGTTCTATTCGTTTCAGTTAAGCCATATCACAATATTTCCTACATAAACTCTAAAATAGAATGTCTGACTTCAAAATAGCACCAAAATTATAGACTTATGGTAGAATTATGAAACTTTCGAGTTTAAAGATCATTAAATCCTCTTTCTAACACATTTGACCACACCTCAAATGGACTTACGAAACTCAAGTTATGCGTGAAATAAGATGATCAACTCAAAACTAAAATTTGACTATGCCTCAGGTATAAAAACCAGAGAACTACTATTGTTGTAGAGCTCTTAGACCCAATTTCCCCAACTTCAAATAAAATATTATTGCATAATCTTTCTAACGTAACTAACGACACCTCAAACAGACTTATGAAACTCAAGTTACTCATGAAACAAGATGGTTAATCCCCTTCTATGCCTACCTGCGATTTTCTGCGTTTTCTCCCTATTGAACAGGTCCAAAACTCGTATATTTCTCCTATTTAAATTCTAACCACCCCCAAAAACACACAGATAATAAGCACCGTTAAAACGACACAACTATTTCGATTTCATATTTTCCCCTTATGGCGCCACCACAATTCATCAACCAACATTAAGACATCAACAGGGCAAACCAATTTACAAATTATACAATTTCATATGCTCTCACCTTATGGCATAATTATTGTTCATTTAATTAATCCGCCTTATCAAAAGGTATCAACAGGGTTATCAAAACAACAGACACAGATTAAATGAGAATACATATCATATTACTCAAGAGTAAAAGGAAACATTATCAATCACTCGCCTCATAGGTTTTGCCCAAACCTCTTTGCCACAAACAATACATACATAGAAAGAAAAAGGTGAAGGCAATAGAGTAAGGTACCCTCAATATCTCTCTATTTATCCACCCATATATGAATAATTTCCCCTACCTCAAAAATTACAGAGCGATGAAATTTTGCTTTTGAGATATTCTTTTCTAACCTTTGTTCTCATAGAGTACCACCTCTTGATTCACTCTAACTTTTTTCTCTAACTTTCACGTACTGTGAAATCTCACTCCCTCTATTTCACTTAAATATAAACCTAATTCTATTTTATTTTAGTTAATTATAAAAAAATGCCCAACACTTCTCACTAACTCCTCCTCATTACTCTAATTTTATTAAAATTCTATTTCTTTCCAAAAACTCATAATTCCTCATTATTCTCTATTATTTAAATTAATTTAAAATAATATTAATTCTACTAAAATACTACTCTAATTTTCTAATACTGTTCACCACTCAACAAATCAATAATCCGATTTAACTAAATAAAAGCACACTAAAACATAATTAATTATTTAAAATAATATGAAAAATATTTAAAATAATACTAATAATATTAAAATTAAAGCGGGGGTGTTACAGGTGTCATTTCTAGCCTGGTTGACGTGTAGGCGTTAGCTTCTGGGCTAATGTATCCTCGTCTTCGTCTTTCTGTAAAAGACATGTGTCACTTACTCATGCATCTCCAGTTTTGTCTTTCTGAAAGAGACATGTGTTACCTACTCAGGCATCCGAGGCATAGCACGTACCAGAGGCTTTGTAGGCACCCGAGGCATCGCACGAACCTGCGGCTCTGCAGGCACCCGAGGCTATGCAGGCACACGAGGCACCCGAGGGGTTTGTAGGAGGCTCGTAAAACTTATTCATGTTGCCTCTATACCTTGACCATACATCCAGACATGTCTTCGGTAAAACAATCAATTCTTTTTAATTATTAGCATAATTTATATGAACATCATTCAAAACCTCGCTTGCATAGTGATTTGCATGCGGAAGAGCGAAGAAAAAGGGGATGTTTTGTTAATAGGAATAAGAAAGTGTTTATAGCCGTAGCGATATAAACAAGAATACTCATCCGAGCCGCAGGAACATGTACATAAAGAATACGAGAATTTCCACCTTGTTGAAGATCTAACGGTGCTACCCGAAGACTTAAATGAATAGCCATTGCTGTTAAGAACAACCGAGATCCAATGAGAATTAGCGCACATAGAAGAACCGCTGTTCGCTGACTTTCTAAGGTCTGTCTAACATAACCTTTCGCTCCCCTACTGAAAAAGGCCTCTCTTATTGGGGGTTACTCTCTTCTCTGATGTGCGCTATATTATTAAGTTCTATTCTTGAAAGAGTTTTCGGGATTAAGCCACGTGGCGATACCCGCGAAAAACGAAAGACTCTTTTTTTTTTTTTCGCTTAGAGCTTCCCACGTCTATAAATAGAAGTTGCTTTCTCTATTTGGCAAAGCAAGGGGAGATAGTTATGGATCCACCAGTTACCACTTTAACGCTTTTTCAAATTGAGCAAGCAATTATTAATGTAGAGAACGCAAAGCTCCAGCAAGAGCAAACCCTGGCTGCCTTGACTAATTTTACTGAAACACGACTTCTTATTTCTTAGCAATGATTGAAGAAAAACATGAAAAAAGGATTTCTATTTCTTTTAATCTTTGTTTTAAATAAAATGATCAGACTACAACCAGCAGAATTCTATTAAAATCTCCCACTTTTTCTAGCCCATAGTTACACCAACAACATAATCCCTTACATGACACATTAGCCTAAAAATATGTGTTTAATTAGATGCATTATTTTAGTTTCTCAAAAGAAAATAAACAAAAATCGTCAAATTCAAAAGAATTTCTTTGCTAAGCATGTTGCTCAATAGTTTGATAACTTGTGAAAATTCTTTGATGAATCTTTTATAGAAACCGCCATTATCACATTTATCTTCCGCAAAACTCACAAGTCTCATCTAACATATGTCTCTCAAACTTTTTGTTTGAGAATGATGAATAGTCCATATGGATGTAAGCGAATTAGAAAAAAAACGATTAAACCGACAATTTAAAACAAACAAAATGTTTGATTTTCTAGTTTAGTTTAAAAATCGAACCAAACCAATAAAAATCAAAATGATTTGGTTTGATTTAATTTTCAATTTTAATTTTTAGAAACCATAAAACCAATAAACCGAACTGATGGCTATAGTTATCCTTATTCGCCTATATTTGGAATTATGAAAAACCACAATGTTAAAAGAGATGATAAAACTAATACTTCTACCTTCTCAAAAATCATGGTGGGAGGGGTGTGAAACGTGAGGTGGCAGTGACACACATTGTTTCCAAAAATTATATGAAATATACTATTACAAAAATAGCATAAAATATATTGAAAAGCATGATAGCAAAAAAAATACACAAATTAATATATTATTTAAATACAAGAACAGTGTAAACAATCAATCAAACTAAACATAATTGAACCAGATTGATTAATATGTTTCTTGAAAAATACTAAAAACCAAACCAAATCAAATCAAACCAATACAAATATTATCAACTCAATTTTTTTTTTATAAAAACCAATTCATATCAAACCTATTACCCGCTGGTGTTCAAATTTTTTTATTTATATAAATATGTCAATAACTATAATGGGAAGGAATATCCATTATTGAAAAAAGATAGAGACTTATTTGTGTAAATAATTAATTTGTTGTAGCAAGTAAACGTACTACCAATAACTTGGACGTAGAGATTTTCTTTGAAATGATTATAAATAGGCAAAAGTTAGATGGATAAACACACCAATCACCTCTCTATAATGATATGGTAACTCTCTAATCGGGAAGAAGAATGTATCTGAAATAGACTACCTATCAACAAACTCATCTCCAAATTCTAGCTTATAGCATTTACGAAAAATGCAAATTTTCCTCTACAATAAACGAAAAATAGAGAGAGAATCACCCAGAGATAAAATAACAAATAAAAGTAAAAAGACAAAATAATCCTAAAATCCTTCGCCAAACACAACCTATAAATGTGAATTTTTGACCGAACAAAAAATAAATTAAAACACATTATCTTTTTTGCAAACTTTTACTTTTCACGTAATTAGAATCTCATTTTCCAATTTATTCAAAAAATAAGCTAATTTTCTGATATTTCAAAGAAGGAAAATATTAAGTTTTTTTTAATAAGAAAAAAAATAATTATAACTACAATTACAATTATTAATATCAGAAAAACACAAATAGTTATAATTGTTATATAATTAAAAATAAAGATAGCTTAATTAATCATTAATCATTATATAATTAATAGTACTAGAGACACGCTGTGAAAGATTTCTGCTATGGAAGTTCAATCTCCGGCACCGCCGCAACGTTAACAGAATAAGTCCACCACGTACCGTTCACAAGCTCCGGCAACTCAATCTCCCTCCAAAAATCATCACCACCACCGGAATCAATGGTATCATTCTCCGCTTTGGTAACCATCATGCGAGCTGCTTTGGCCGCCGCTGTCTGAATATCCCTAGCCGTACACGAAGACGGCGGAGGAAGCAACGGAAGACGGTGCACTTCATCTGGAAAATTAAGCTGCGCATTACGCCCTTTCAAACAGTACGCAGCCACGTCGTAAGCCTTCGCCGCCATCTCCGGCGCCGGGAAAGACCCTAACCATATCCGCGACTTCTTCCGCGGCTCTCGAATTTCCGACACCCATTTCCCCCACCGCCGTTTCCGGACTCCGTGGTAAACTGGATGACGTGTACCGCCACGGACGTTTCCGGAATTCGCGGCTGAATTCTCGGGTGTAACGGTTTTTACTGCCACGTCACCTTTTTGTGTGAAGTTCAAAGGGTGGTTCTCCATTCAGATTTTTTGCGTTTGCGTTTTTAACTTGGGTGCTTTAATAACGAAGTTCAGAATTGTGAGTGGTGTGGAATGACTGAAATGTCCTTGTTTAAAAGGGTAGGAGAAAGAGAAGAACAAAAGTTACAGATTCTATTTTCATACGTAAGAAAGGACCAGCATGAAATTAAAGATGGCAATGGCGTGTTTCAGTGCTTTATAATTATAAGGAGCTGCAAACAGTACAAATGATGCTATATTTGTATTTTAATTTATCAGGGTTTGACTATAGTTTGGTCCACTTATGATGTTAATCTCTCATCATGTATTATTAAGTTATTATAACTTAAATTAACAATTATTGTGGAGTTTACAAATTACTGCTAATGTAAGTTCAAATTGGAAAAGATATTCATGTCAAAATATTTTTCAAATAGAATTAACTTTCATAAAAAGAACTAAGTGAATTAAACATTAAGGCCTTAATGTCCCTATGTTATAGGTATTTTTTGAGCTATGAGCTCTGAAGTCTAACTCAGTTGAATTATATATATATATATATATATATATATATATATATATATATATATATATATATATATATATATATATATATATATATATATATATATATATATATATATATATATATATATATATATATATATATATATATATATATATATATATATATATATATATATATATATATATATATATATATATATATATATATATATATATATTATATATATATATATATATATATAATTTAAACCTCCATATTTTAGTCAACTACTTTGAAATTATTTAATTTTGTTCTATTTCCGTTTGTTTTGTTTTTTTTATTTAATTTTTATAGTATAATATATTTTGATGTAAAAAAATTTTATAAAGAAATTTTTCATAAAAGTTTAAAATAAAAATTTGGTTTGAATAGTTATTGTTAAAATGTTATTTTATGTATTCCATTATTTTATTGGAAAAAAATTTAATGTTAAAATTTTAAAAAATTACTTAATTTTAAAGTTGTTTTAAATGTTTTTTTTTTATAAAAATCATTTTTAAATACAACTTTTTTTTAAAAATTGTGATTTTAATTATATTTTGGTATTCAATAATGTATGTTTAGGTTATAGTTTATCAAAATTTGTCTTTTAATTTATAAAAAATAAATTTAAAAAATTGTAATATTTATAAAAATATTTGTGTAGAATCTATTTTAAAAAGTACAAAGAAAAAATCTATTTTTTTAAAACTATAAAAACTGACCCGTTGTTTGAAAATATGAGTGATGTGATATACGTAAATGCTATGATGTGATATGCGATCAGATGTAGAATGGTTTCCATGAACTAATTATGTATAAATTAATACTAAAATTATAAAATAAATTATTAGTAAAGTTCAAACTGAAATTTCAAAAATAAAATATTTTTTAAAGCAAATAGAATAGTTACTGGAATTTATCATTTTTAATGGTGAATAAATTCTTGTATAAATATTAATTGAGCTAATTTAACACGACAATCAGCTCTGCGGAGTTTTATGATATAATTGGCATTTTGAAGTAAACTTAGAAGTTAATCATATTTTTCTTGAGATAGAGTATGTATAAGTTCTGCGGAATGTTATGATATAGTTGTTCCAGTTGAGTTGTGACCATCATGAAGCAAACTGGTGTGAGCATTGGCAATAGAAGATTAGATTACTTGGGTGATCATGTTTTTTATAACAAAAATCAATGGCTTGACCATGTCTGTTACGGCATGTGCACAAACTTGAATTGTTTTTGCCATATAGTACTATTTTAGCACTAAACACATTTGATCATAAGTTGGAATCACCAAATGTAAGTGTAGGAACAATGTTACTCTCTTCTTGATCAAATAATGAGTCTATATTGTCAATGGATGGTAGATATTCCATTAATAACATCTATGTCTTAAACATAGAAAAAATATCATTTAAACTAGTAAAAAATTGAATTGCTTAAAATTTCTAGTCTAGAGCATAACATCACATAAGCATTGATGAAAACATGTGTGAGAAATAATTGATTGATGTATAACCAATTCATCTCAAAGAGTTTTCATGTCTATGAAATACTTTAAAATGAATTTTGAACCTTGTTTGAGGGAATTAAGTTGTGGTCTAAGATTCAAAACATGAACTCTATCAATTTTTTTAAAAAAAATTCTTTCAAATCTTTTTAAACATCAATATAATTTTCATGACACATGATAATTTAAGAAATTGAATTTGAAAAAAAATTAATAATCTACAAATGTAGATAACTGCTTCTCTACCATGTTGCATGATTGAGATCTTCATCGTCAGATATTGGTCAATGATGAGTATTTTGTTCTTTGCACCAAGAGCTCAACACATCAATATGATCCACCCAGCATAATTGGATCTATTAAGTTTTGGCATAACTAGGGGTGTGCATGAATACCATTTAATATGAACCAATTCATTTTTATGGTTATGGTTTATAAACCAAACCACTTGTAATAAACCAGTTTAAAACCGATTCTAAATAAATTTTAATTTTAACCCAAATTATTTAGTTAAATTTAAATTATATCAATTTTTAAATTTAAATACTTAGATTTTAGTATATTTTTTCTTTGAAAATAAATATAAATTTTTTTAAAACAAATTTAAAAATAAAAAATATTTAAAAAATCAAAAATAAAATTGAAAATAAAAAAATTTAAAATAAAAAATTTCAGCAAATTATATGGACTTAAAATGATAAATAATATTTATAATACATATATTTGTATATTTCAAAACCTCTATCTATTGGTGGAGAAATCTATAATATTTATAATTATTTTTTTATAAAGCTTTAATGAACTTCGAGATTTATAAATGAAAACTAGAGTCAAATCCAACAAGTCAAGTTTTGGTATATTTTCTTGCACATGCCAAATCAAATTCGGTGTACTAAGATCTATATAATTAATTACTGAAAGTTTATATAATTAACTGATAAAATTCCATATAATTTGTGAAGTATTAGTACACCATTTTAGGTAGTTAGAGAATTTGTAAACAATTTTTTTTTCATTTTGAAATACAAAATTTTGAATCTTTTGGTTTAAAATATAAAATTAGTTTATAACATGTATATGATAAAAGATGAAAAGAGACAAAAACATATCAATTTAACAAATAATGAAATTTGGATAACCAATAACTAAACCACATGAAAACCGGTTTATATTTGGATAACCAAATTTATATTTTAGCATTTGGTTTGGATTTTTAAAAGTGAAACAATTTGGATACAAATTTGGTTAACAATAACCGGTTTTTTTCACACCCATAGGCGTAACTAAAATTAGAATTCAGTCCATCACTCGGGTAAACATAATAGACCAAATCTAATTGAGGTTGAACTGGTTGAACATTGTTGTAGTTAGGTGTCATTAATGAAACTTGAAGAAAGATAGGCTGCAACAATAAATCAAGAGAAAAAAAATAAAGGATTCTTCAAGAAGATGAAGAAAATCACAACAAAGTTAAAAAAGAAGAAGAAATTTGTATCAATTTGAACTCTTCAAATGAGCTCTTCATACCATAATATGAACAAAGTATCTAATTTCATTAAGTTATAATGATCAAGTACAAATTATAACTATAGATGGAGTAGAGTGAACACTCTAAATTCTAGGATTGGGATAAAGTGTATGTTTAGTTTGGGGTGAATGCTATGTTGGAAACTTTTTGTTGTTATCATCCACTGTATTAGGTTGAGAAGCTTAAGGGGGAAATTTTATCACTTAGTGCTGAAAGTTTGTGGATCATTATGTGTTTGTGGTCTAGGAACCAAATCCCATTTAATGACGAAGTTGGAGACCCAGAACTAGTATTATAGAGAATTATTATTTTATCATGGTGGTGGCTAATAAAAAGCGCTAAGCTTAATAGTTCATGTTGTTATTATGATTGGTGTAGTAACCTTTTGGTCTTTCTCTAAAACTATATTAATTTGTATGTAACTACTGTTGGTTATGAGTTGTAGTTGGGTTGAGGTACCCCTAGTACCTCTATTGAAATATATAGTTTGCTTATAAATAAATAAAACTATAACTAACTCATAACTAACATTTACTATTTATGAAAAGCTTGCAATCACACGGTACTAATTAACTTTCTATTAATGGACAGTTTGCATAATAACTAACTTATAACTAGTTATTAAGTATGACTTAATCATGAGATCCCATTAAACATAATGACACTATTCTTAAAATAGTCGTAGTTGAGCTTTACTGTCAAGTGGGATAACCTTAAAGCATTAAGACAATTATGTAGATAGATTGATGATCACATCTCATAGATCATGGATAAGGAGTTATCAAGTCTTAACATAGGTATCAACATTATGAGTAATATTTATATTGGATTGATCCACTATGAGAGTACTACATAGAATGTTATGCAAAGTATCATAAGTTACTCTCATGGTGATAATGGTGTATACCATCCTTCAACTTGAAACCACTATGGACCCTAGATGTTAAGTCAAGTACTTTATTGTTGATCAAACATTGTCCATAACCGGATGACCATAAAGACAGTTGATGGATACTCCATAAAGCATGTTGAGGACATGAGTGACCTAGATGGAATTTTCTCATCTTGCATAACAGGATAAGTGTCTAAGGGTCCAGTATTGAACTGACCAAGGATGACATGACATATGCCATGTGTTCATTATAGACATAAGGGCAAAAAGGTAATTGTACACACTAGTATTATCATAAAAGGTTTTTTTTTCAGATTACATGACATTTTCGTGACTTGGGTAGCAATGATGTGTTGCTAGATACCGCTCAATGTTCAATGTGTATCTCAGAGAAGAAATTGAACCTTGTTAGACATGGTCCGATCCATGATGAGTCACGTCGATCTTCCAAACTTCTTTTAGGGGCATGAACTACTAACAACAGCTTACACACTTAACCGTGTTCCATCCAAAAAGGTTGAGAAGACACCATATAAGA